AAATATTTTTATGACTTGAAATATAGAATGAATTTATTTCATTTAAAAATATATTGATTTTATACACATTTTTCGTTTGAATAGTTTTACTTTTGCTCATTCATAAACATTATGTTTTAAAAAGATTTGTTTGTTTTTGAATTTCGCGCAAAGCTACACGAGGTCTATCTGCGCTAGCCACCCCTAATTTAGCAGTGTAAGACTAGAGGAAAGGTAGCTAGTCACCACCACCCACCGCGAACTCTTGGGCTACTCTTTTACTAACGAATAGTGGGATTGACCGTCACATTATAACGCTCCCACAGCTGAAAGGGCGGGCATGCTTAGTGGGACAGGGATTTGAACTCGCGACCCGATAATTGCGAGTCGAGTGCCCTAACCACCTGGTCATGCCGGACCATTTGAAAAATAAACTCTTAAGTAAACCAGTTATAGTTTTCGCTATTACCAAATGATAAGTTTATGTGGTTTATTACCCAGTCCATATTTAATGAGAAAATTAATATAACTCGTTACATTCAACTGTTAATTATTAAAAACCATTATTATTTGTTTCGAAGGTATTGGTTTTGTAATCTTGACTCTCTGACTTAAAGTACTGAACCTGGTCTACTTACTTGCTTGAACAAGCTCTTTTTTTTCATTCCTTCCAGCGTTTTTATACAGTTTTCTTCTGTTCCCCGCTGGGACAGCGTTAAGTTTATGGACTTACAACGTTCATGTCCGGGGTTTGATTCTCCCCCAGTGGACACAGCAGATGGTCCAGTGTGGCTTTGCTCTAAAACAGTTTTCTTCTTTAGATAATTTTTTTCGTGAGTATGGCCCTCGGATAATATTTCATTAGACCACTTGTTGATTAGCATCCCACCATCTAATGACACGTTTCGAGCATGGTTCTCGGATAATATTTCATTAGACCACTTGTTGATTAGCATCCCACCATCTAATGACACGTTTTGAGTATGGCCCTCGGATAATATTTCATTAGACCACTTGTTGATTAGCATCCCACCATCTAATGACACGTTTTGAGTATGTCCCTCGGATAATATTTCATTAGACCACTTGTTGATTAGCATCCCACCATCTAATGACATGTTAGACCATTTTGATGAGGTCTTCCACTTAATATTTTTATACTATTTTGTATCGTGATGTAAACATGGGCTCGGTGTGACTTAGATTCCATAAGTTGTCAGAAGTACCTTACTCGATACTGTAGATAATTCGTCAAAAAGTATAGTTACAGATATTGGCATGGGACTCTACTGTAGAGAGGGCGACGTTAAAGCACATTACAACGCTGCTTAATCAAATTGAGGACCGATTATCGTGCTGTTTTAGGAAGATGGCTGAAGTCACTTCGCACTTTTCGAACCGATTTCAGAATATTCGAGCGTGAGTTCTTGTTTCATTACTGTCAGGAAAAAAATGCTTGTCTATCAGGATCGAAATGCAGCATCATGGAGCAGACGACATGTTCGACGGTGATAAGTGAAGTGTTCTTAAAACTGTGGGGGGAGCACAATCATGGAGCTGACATGTTCGACGGTGATAAGTGAAGTGTTCTATAAAACTGTGTGTGTGTGGGTGGGGGGAGCACAATCATGGAGCTGACATGTTCGACGGTGATAAGTGAAGTGTTCTATAAAACTGTGGGGGAGCACAATCATGGAGCAGACATGTTCGACGGTGATAAGTGAAGTGTTCTATAAAACTGTGTGTGGGGGCACTATCATGGAGCAGGCGACATGTTCGACGGTGATAAGTGAAGTGTTCTATAAAACTGTGGGGGGGGCACTATCATGGAGCAGACATGTTCGACGGTGATAAGTGAAGTGTTCTATAAAACTGTGGGGGAGCACAATCATGGAGCTGACATGTTCGACGGTGATAAGTGAAGTGTTCTATAAAACTGTGGGGGGGGCACTATCATGGAGCAGACATGTTCGACGGTGATAAGTGAAGTGTTCTATAAAACTGTGGGGGTATTTATAAAGTGGACAGTCTGCGAACGATCAGCTTGAAAACTTGTGCTCATAAAAATTATGCATTTTTCTTAAAATAATTGAAATAAAATAAAAATCGTTGGAATGGATAGAGCAAAATGTGGGAGACATTTTGGCCAAACAGAGCTCATCATGAACTGGTGTTGATGAAGGCTTTTTGAATGAAGCGTTTCATACAAGTTTCTATTTCCAACTTAACTGTTTCAACCATTTCTTTAGCTTTTCAAACTGTATTTTTCTGTTGCTAAATTTGTTTGTTAATCTTAATACATTTCATTTTTGTCTTCGTTAAGTATACAGTGTATTTCCCTGACAAACTTCGCCAATTGTTAACAAGACACTAATCAATTTTGCAAATAACTATAGAATAGTCCCTAATACAATTCAAAAAGTCCAAAGTTTCTGAAGCAAAATCAAATCCAAAGATCAATTAATTTATGTGCCACCCATCTATATCAAACTCGGTATCTTTAGAGCGGAACATTGATCTGACCAAATATCTTCTTGCCCACAATTTTCATAAAGAGGTTTGATCAGAATGTCCATAACTCTAATAAGACATAATTTTCCCGTTAAAACGTTCCAAAACTTAATATCTTAGTCCTTTTGTTAATGTAGATGGCAGACTTGTTTTGTTTTTAGCACAAGGCTGCACCATTGGATATCTGTACTCCGTCCACCGTGAGGAATCGATCTCCGGATGTTAGCGTTGTAAGTCCGTAAATTTATTACTGACCTACAGGGGGACTTATATGGTTCACACTTCTATTTTGTACCTAGTGCAGCGTTTTTATGTAAATTTCTTTCTTTTTCCAAATTTTGGTCCGTATCAGTCATTAACTCTTGACTAATGTATTTTATCAAATTACAACCATTGAGTTGAGAGGAAAATATTTATGTACTCATAAGCAAAGAAATGTAATAGTACCAAAATAGTTCCCTAATTTAGAGAAGAACTTCTTCTGATAAGAGAGAGAGAGAGAGAGAGAAATACATTCCTTAAATTGTTGCTTGTATGGATGATTACGGTATAGCCCCTTGAACAGTGGCTGTATCGGTATAGCCGCATCAGTGAAAGTACGTGTTTAAAGCACTTTCACTGATATTTATAATGTTTTGATATCTTGCACTTTTCAGGATTTTAAAATAACGAACTTTTAAGTTGCAATGCTAAATATTTCAACTGTTTTACAAATTTCTCATGTCAGCACATTTACAGTTTGTATTGTATCACGAAACCGTGATTTTCTCTTAGTCAAAATGTTTAATTACCGCTATCTTAAAGGCTCGATGCTTTATTTTTTCCTTCCAGGTTCAGAGTTTTTTTCGAGGCTGGTTATGCAGAAGAAGATGGAAACAGATAGTTGCTGAATACATCAATACCCCACATGCCGAGAGCATGCGCAAACGTAACAGGTAAACTAACTATTTAGTATAATCCAAAACTACAAGCTATACAGCCGACTGTCACATTTCTAGCTTGAGCGTCGAGAATTCATATAGAAACACTTCAGCTTGTCAATCCAGAAAAGGAGCAGTGGATGATTTTTTTCCAATGAAGTAAAGAGCGTGATTGCAAGTCTAATAGTGGTTCAAGATCTTGTAAATTTTATTCGTGTTCCTATTCTCCAGTATCTATGGCTTATTTTGGAATGGCCAATGAACTTAGAAAAATATTGAATTAGTAAGGGTGTAGCTAAAGATATTTTAACAGCATGATTCCTCAAGTTGTAAGAATGTTTATCAGCTTTGTATTCACGACTTTGATTATTTATAACTATTAATATTATTATCAGTGCTCAATACATCAGTAATAAAGAGTTTGTGTAATAATATTATTATTTACACTGAAGCTCTTCATCCCGTATACAGTATGCATTTGGCGTGCAATATCTTGAGTTTGATGTCCCAGTCTGGACGTAAGAGCAAATTGTTAGTAGTAACAACAGAGCCCTTAACCCCTATACAGTATGCACCTGACGTTCAATACCTTGAATTTGATGTTCCAGTCTAGATATAAGAGCAAATTGTTAGTAGTAAAAGCATAGCCCTTAACCCTGTATACTGTATGCACCTGGCATGCAATACCTTGAGTTTGATGTCCCAGTCTAGATGTAAGATCAAGTTGTTAGTAGTAACAACATAGCCCTTAACCCTGTATACAGTATTCACCTGGCGTGCAATACCTTGAGTTTGATGTCCCAGTCTAGATGTAAGAGCAAGTTGTTTGTAGTAACAACATAGCCCTTAACCCTGTATACAGTATTCACCTGGCGTGCAATACCTTGAGTTTGATGTCCCAGTCTAGATGTAAGAGCAAGTTGTTAGTAGTAACAACATAGTCCGTAACCCTGTATACAGTATGCACCTGGCGTGCAATACCTTGAGTTTGATGTTCCAATCCTAGTATGAGAGCAAGTAATAAGATGGTTAATTTGGTAAATATTCCTATAGGACGATAAAAATAATAAAACCTGTGGCTAATATAGAATTATAAACGGACTGAAGTTGGCGGCTCACATATTTAATATTTTTTTTGCAGAAATGAATTCAGATATTTTACGGGATCCAAACTCGCCACTCTACTTAAGTGGGTATTAACTCTTAATTTATCTGAGCAACTGCCCTGACAAGCAGAGTACTGAATTCGAAATCCACCCAGTCTTAGTTTTCACTTCTTCAAAAGAACGGGCGTGAATTATTAGTTAATTTCCCGGATTAAGGATCCATGGTTCACGTCCCGTTGCTGGAAGAAGTTGGGATTTGCATTTTGGAAATGTGTATGAATCATAAGAGCGATGGTCAAATCGAATTATTCGATTAGACTAGCAAGGAGTTGCCAGTGGGCGCGGTTGGTTAGTTTCCTTCTCTTAGTTAGTCACAGTGACTTTAAAGTTGCCCAGACACCACCAAAGAAATGTATAATGTTCTGTAATGTACGTAAATAAACCAAAAAGAACAGTAGTTTAAAAACAACTAGCCAGGTTTTTCTTCTTCACACATCGCACCACATTACTGCAATAAAATTACTTTTTTGTGATTCAGTTTCTCCACAGATCAAAAACTTATCATCCCTCGCTCAGACACTAGTCATATACGCATCCGACAAGGCCCGGCCACATCCCTGTCGG